GTCGAAGATTTCTGAAGTTGAAGAGGCTCATAATCTTGATGAGATGGCGTTTGATGAATTTGTTGGGATAATGAAGGCTTTTGAATTAAACAAGGCATATGAAGCAAAAGAAAAGAAGAAAGTTACTAATGTTGAAGCTGTTCAGAATAGTGCATATGCTGAAGGTTCGATGGCCTTGTTGTCAAGACAATTTGCTAAGTACTTGAAGTAGACAAAGAAAAAGAATGGAAGAAGTGCAGAGGTTGACAGTTCATCAACGAACATTCAGTGCTTCGAGTGCAAAGGCTTTGGGCATATCCGTTCTGAATGTGCAAATATGCTGAAGAAGAAGGCGCTGTCTTGCATCAAGAGTGATTCTGATAGTGATTCAGATGATGAATTGGCCTTAAATAATTTTGTGGCATTGACAACGTTTGTCTCCAGTGCTGTACCAGAATCTGCAACAGAAACTGAAGCAAAGTCTGCATCTGCAAGTGGCAACGATGGAAGTGTTAGTGATGTTGAGAGTATTAGTGATGAAGAATTTGCTAGGAACTACGATATGTTGTATGAACACTGGCTCAAATTGGTTGAAGAAAATTCATTGTTGACTAAGGAGAAGGTCAAGTTAGAAGCTCAAGTTGCTGAAGCACAGAAGTATGCAGTTCAGAAAGAAGATGAAGCAACTCAAGCTAGAGTTCAGCTGGAAGAGACACAAAAGCAATTGAGGATGCTTCATAATGGTACAGATCAGTTGAATCATCTTTTGAATATTGGAAAAAGTCCTATGGAGCAACACAGTCTTGGATTTAATGGAGAATCTTCAAAAACTGAAACTGTTTTTGTGTCAGAGGGAAGAAGAGCGACTGCAGCTACATCTGCTTCAGAGTCGAAGCCCATAATTGCTTCAGAACCAAAGCCCAGAATTACTACAGAGCCGAAGTCCAGAGTTACTACAGGGAGTGCTACTACAACTATTTCAAGGAAAACTGTAGAATTTCAGAGTGCACCTAGAAGAGTTTTTCGACATGTTTGTCATCATTGTGGAGTTGCTGGGCATATTAGACCAAGATATTTTAAGTTATTGAGGGAGAATCATCGAAGGGAGCAAGCTTGTGATGGGAGATTTGGTGGTCCAACATGTTATCGTTGTCGAGTTGAAGGACATGTTCAACGTTATTGTTATGGATTCAATCGAAGGTTCAGTCATGAAGGTCAAAGGTCTTTACTGTACGAGTCGACTGTACTACAAATACTACTACAAGAGGTGATACAGAAGTTGAGTTGTGTGATTTGTTGAGAGGAGCTCGTGTATTGATATTCACAAACGTGGATTGGGCTAGAAAAAAGAAAGAGATATTTACTTGGAGGAAAGGAGAAATATATTCCAAGAATATATTTTAGAAAAAAAATAAGGAAAGGATAATCACAAGGAAGGAAAATTTCTTTAAGGTTAAGGAGGTGCTATTTATTAGTATATATAGAGGAGGCTCATGGCTGGATTTTTCTTGTGCCTTTGTGAAGAAAAATACAGAGAGTTTATTTCAAAGAAGAAGGTATCT